CTTGTATCACAACCTTTCATCACAGAAAGCGTACCAATAAATTTCAAAACAACATTCCTCTTTACTCGATCCAAACTTCACTTATTTTTATCCTTCGCAGGCGAAGCGACTGGCGATAATTAATGTATACCTTCCATTCTAAGCTCTCTTCTGCCACTGAATCAACACGCTAAAAAGCAGGGTTGTTTCACAGCATATTTCCTTCCACGAAGTCAAAGAGAATATTGGCTGAAAAGCAGCTTAAGTTCTAAAGTATACAAAAATGGTTCTTGTGAACTGATCCTGGGTTTTCAAGAGTTTCGGAAACGAAGAGTTTGGTTTTCAGTTTAAACACCTGGGCGTCCCCATGTTTACTTCATGTTAATTTATGACGTCATTATGCGGTCAGAGTTCCCAATATGGAGCCTACAGAAGACGATATCGTGTTGGAAATGGACATATTTATCCGGAACTATACATATTCATCATGAATTATAAACGATTAGAAGCTTTTTCTTATATATATCTAGGTTCAAGTAATGCTGCGTTTTAAAAACGCCAATTGCGCAATGACGTCATAATTTCCCATCAAACTTTCCAAAAATATAAATAGCAGAAGCAAAACGCCCAGCATTCAAAGACCGGCAAAGAGTTCTTGACTGAAAATTCTTAAAACAATCCAACAAGAACCTCAACATGTGATTTGGGACAAATTGTGTTTTAGCCAAGATTCCCTTTAACGAGAAGGGTTGATTCAACCAGCCTACACGAGAAAGTAGCTCACATAGCGCATTGCTTTCACAATGAGAAGAGCTGCTTGCACCAGCTTGTAGGTATACAGCGAGCTTCCCTTGAATTCATCTTCACAGTCTAGTAAAAAGTGTAGACAGATAGGGAACGGTTTACAAAATCAAATGCTCCGACTACGATGCAGGCTGCTGCTTTCGATGAGAGTGGCAGAAAACCTAACACGGGACTGACTGAACACAATCAAGTGACGAAAAGTGGTTATGAGAACAATCATAACCGGACGTTATCAACTGAGAAACGTCAGAAACTGTCTGGGATTCTGTTCAATGCTTCGCTAAAAGTACAAACTATTTTCAAAGACTGAGTCTGGAAAGTTGGTAAACCAACTTAGAGTAAAGCGCTTCTTAACAGACGTCAACAACTACCGGCACCATACAAAAGACTTCTTCACTACATAAACAAAACCGACGCGTACGGACAGCCCTGAAACAGAACGACTTAATTGGCCTAAAAGTAGATGAATAGAAAATTGCAGCTAGAACCGATCAATGAATGTTGACAAACTTCACACAAGTGTTACAGTCATACAGTCACGGCTAAACTGACCAATGAGTTTCAAAATTAACGGCTCGGCTTATAACATCATCCAATGACTAACACTATCCACTTGACTCTGCACATGACTTCTGTTCATTTTGTGGAAACGTCAGTCACCAACAACAGTTCTTTTTAAAAGTACCTTCTCCCACACGATCCCACTATAAGACCTTCTGATACACGTGGGTTTGTTTGAACTATTCACTATCTTATAACCAACCATATCGATATCAATGTCAAAGTAGCACTGTCTAATTTGGTGATGTCTGTTCTGTCCATTACGTATACTCTTAGATCAAGTAAGCCTGTGCGTCGGAAGGTTCTGCACTTGGGGAAGAAAAGGAAAATCTCTTGAACATTGCCACCACTTTGCTTTTGAGAAAAACGATTCCTCGGCGAAAGAAACTCCACCATCGCAACGGGCACAGAAGAACTGCCCTCCAGAAGAATCGCACATAAAGGAATCCCTTAACTAAAAAAAAAGTTGTAGTTAGTATTATCCATATCACACCATTAAGAAACGTTTTTTTGGTCCCTACGTAAGCCTAAATCACAATCCCTCGCTTTTATTTTACAGTCTTATAACGTTATATGTACTTATTGACTTAGTGGAAGGGCCGGACGGGAAAATATTTTGCTCGAGTTTCGTACGTCCTGACCTCGAGCCAAATATTTTCCCGTCCGGCCCGACCTAACTCAGTCAATAAGCATTTTATCATATGACCACTTATTATAAAATAACTGATCATGAGCGACTACGCGCGCTTTCATTGGTCGAAAGGTGTGTTAAGATGAGAGTATGTAAACACGGTTGTGACGTTTTAGCTTCGCGTGTATTTTTGAGAATTATTTTATAAAAGCAATAGAACACTTTTTCCGTGTTCACATAGCCTCATCTAAACACTCGGGGGTTGGAAGAATTCTAGAAAGTTATGCAAACCCGAGACGTAGTCGAGGGTTTGTATAACTGTCTCGAATTCTCCGAACCACCCTCGTGTCCAGATGAGGCTATGTAAACACGGAAAAAGTGTTCTATTGCTTAAGTGTTGACTATTCTGTTAGAACCTAAATAGGACGCGATTACATAACATCAGACGGCCGCGCGCGGAACAACTACAAAAAAGATTTTACAATAAACACTTGTCATTTATTTCTTCGCGTCGAACAAGAAACACACAATTCATCGAAAAACACGACTCGTTTGCTCATGTTTGTTTTTCAATGTAAATCAACAATTTCAATACATGCTAACGAACAGAAAGTTGACATAAAGCTATCAAAAATATGTCAAAACCATCAAAAACTTAGCGAGTGACAAAAGTTCGCTTTACGCTTCAATAAAATGTCAGCGTCGTTTCAAGGTATTTGTTGACCTCTTGGATTCCCTTGAACAAAGGAGAACTAGCAACTGAATATTAATGACACCGATGTTGAATCCCGCAAACAGTGCCTGGGTTTGCTGACTTTGCTGGCTTTGCTGTGTAGTGGAAATTCAAGCGAGTTTTATTATCTGTATGAACTGTACGGTAATGAACTTGTGTTCGTATTAAGTTTTGTCTCTTCAAACAACACTGATGTAGAAACCGCGAAGCAAATTATCCTACTGTACATATGGTATGTTTGTGATATCTCTGATTTAACCAACTTCTCCCAGAAACTCTGGAAACTCGAAGAAAACTGAAGAAAACATTTATATCGTGCTTTGTTTTCTTTACGTTGTCTTCTTGCTTTAATTTGACCCAAGAGAAATTTTTGATGCTTTCCACTAGGAGAAGTTTCGCCTCAAGAGTCTGCTTTTTCCAAAGGTAAATTATCGGACAGTTCATCCGGAAAAGTTGTTTTCTTGACCGGCTGTTTGCTTGTTGTGGGCTTCTGAGAAAGTTTGGATTTCCTCAATTTTAAAAAAACGTCATGTCATTAACTCGCATCGATCTTGCCGTACGCGTTCCTTGTAGGGCCGTACGGTTTTTCCAGCCCTATCGCTTCCACGCGTACGGCCCTCATACGGGACCTTTTTTCCTATGGTTTTCCAAGGAAATTGCGAAATAATTATTATTTAGGAACTGCCGCCTTCTTATTTTTTCCTTATCTTGGATTTTATCAATTAAAAAAAAAAACGGCTCGAACATAGTTAAAACTGACAAAGAAAGTGAATGGTACCTAAAACTACTAATAAGGTCTAATAAGAATACGGCTTTAGCCCATGCACTTACCAATGGCAAATAACAACACAGAGGCGTTAAGGAGCACAAAAATGACATTCAAAACGACGGAGTCGTTCTGCATCTGGTCCTGGTGGTCTGGTCTCCAGTTTGTATATACTACACCAAGGCAAACATCAAAGAAAATGACCCACAGCACAAACGTTTGCAGTCGATCTTCAAACTTTCCTTTTATTGGTCGAAAGAAGGTGTACGCTACTCCAAATGCGCTCACTGTTAACATAGTGAAGCTAATTTGAGAGGGACTTTCAGATCCGAAAAGAAACACCAGTGAAATAAGAATTAGCTTACGATACATCTCTGTTATCTCCCAGAACCAAAATTTCTTCTTATAGTTTTCAAAGAAAACTTTCAAGCCAAAAGAAATTTCTTCTTCTTCCTGTGACTCACGGTATTTGTACATGAGAGACAACACCAGAAGAGGAAATCCCAAAGGATAAAATGCAAACACAGCAGCAATGGGCCAGAAAAAGTTGTGACGAGGAGTAAAACATTGTATGGAGTAGTCCGCTCTCAGGAAGAAATTACATTGACCCTTTTCATCTGTGAAACACGTCTCTACACATGCGCCAGGAAGAGGCAGAGTTTGAATAATTGTTTTACTTGTTGTCGAGTAAGAAGTCAGTAGAAACAGAAAAATGTTCCGATAGCAGGATTTCTTCAAACTTGAAACTGCACGTAGTTTCTCGCTATCAGGAATATCCACCTTCGTTTTGACGTATCTCTTTTTGAGGAAAAGATAAAGAAGAATTATGAAAACAACAACAACATTCAGAGAAATGATCCCTAGGAATTTGGCAAACTGATCCATCCGCAATTGAGAATGAATGCAGCTTAATGGGGCAAACTGCAAAATATTTCCTTCGAACAAGTTGAGATATTTTTCCATAGAGATCAAAGCTACCGGCCATCGAACTCTCGTCAACGCCGAGAAGATACCGGCAATAACTTGGTAAAATCCAATCACTATTTTAAAGCAGGACATGATGATATCTGCAATGGTTCGATCATTCTCAGTCTGCTTCGAGTCTCCCCAAAGAACCATCAGAAACACAGCAACAAAGAGTACAACCAACAAAATGGATGAAATTATTGTGACAGTTAACCGTGGACATTTCAGACAGTTGTTAAATCGGAAGTAAAAGCCGTTTGTACAAGAAGCACACAAGATCCCTTTATATCCTTTTTGGCATTCTGAGTTAATCCCTCCCTTGCAGGAATTGGCATGAGGACATTTTATTGGTTTTGGTAGTGAAGCCGTAAACGTGGAAAAGGTGTTGTTGTATTCAGGTCCAAAAGTGTGGATGTTGTTAACAAAGCTCCCATAACGCTCCTTCAGAGTTTGGTCAGACCATTTCCAGAAGTAATTCGGCGCAAGTATCGCTGTATCGTTCTCACAGACAAAACCATAGGCGGGACAGGCTGAACAGGCTCCAAAACGATCCAAGCGATATAAATTGCGCAGGCATCTGCATGCACGATAACCAGCGGTCACATTCGATTGAGTTCCTGATGAAAGGAAAAATAATTAATGAATCTATTTAAAACTATAAGTGTGGACAAATCTCAGTCAGTTAAATAGCAAAATAGCATCAAATGTGTATACTTTCATTCAAAATTACTGGATATGAGATTTAGCAGGATTAAGGCCGAAGGTTATAGAGCCAAAGGCTGGGACGGTTAACACAAACTAGGTATTTGTTTCGTTTCACATTTGTAGCCTCTAAAGCTCTATTTTCGGTAATTGTGGGATATCTCAAATTTCCTTCTCCCAACACAAGTGACAGTGCGTAGCCCAATGACGCCATGTCTGCTGCAACAAAGCAATTACGGGTAGATGTTGAATATTCAATTAAATTGACTATATCAGGAGTCCACGGGCTCTGGGTGTATGCTCTCAGCCAAAGAGGACACAAAATGCAGAGTAATTATTTGTTAACTCCGCTGTACTATTTTCGCTTTTGATTCGATGAAATATAAAAATTTGTTTAACCTACGTGCAGACGTCTAATATGAAATGAAGAATATGGTAAACGTCTAGACACAGACCAAGCTTAAAGTAAACACGCTTCCACATTACACAGACAGCCTAGTAAACCGTGGGAAAACGTGTGACTGAATATCATTAAAAATTAGTCTTGGTTTTTGGATGTCAAAGTTGCGTGTGTTTGTCAAGCAATCGCTTAGCGTAATCATGCAAAACCAAAAGAAATGCGAATTACTTTCGACACTCAAGTAAAAACCACTCTAGCCAATAGCTGAACCAAAAACACATTCCTTACCATATGGGCATGCCCGGCAGCTAACGGCACTTGTACCAGGACGATCTTTCTCGGAGACAAAAGTACCATTACTGCATGTTTTACAATCAATTTGCCCCATTTGATCCTGGTAAAAACCTCCTGTGACGCAAAAGAAAACAAACAAACAACAAAAAGCAGAATAATCAAGTTATGATGTGAGCTTTCAGCTATATAATTGGTTTACTTTTTTTTATTTTCCTTTCAGCATTTGTTTCATTTGGTCAAAATAAATATGGAAAAAGCCCTTGGTGGTTATAAAGCAGTCACCACATTTAAATTAACAGACGAGTAGCATTTGGTGCTATGAAAAGCAGGATAAAACTGGCATTATAATTGACCAGAGATCGATTCCCACCCCCCTCCTCCCAAAAAAGATCAACTATATATCAAATCTATTCCATACATATCCATATGAATCGTGGAAAAATGACCAATAAATTTGTTGCGCAAAATTAAGAAAGTCATATGCGCCCTCTTGTATCAGCATCACCCGATATGTCCAGCAACCACCAGCTATAAAACATCTAATCCATCCAACGGAAGAGGGATAGCTTAGGGCTCACTACTCCTAGTTTGGGAGAAAATGTGGAAGGAGGAGGAGTTGTTTAAAGAATTTGATTTCTTGGACAGTAATTTATACAAAATTTGGCCTATATCACTGTGGAACAGTTGCCCACCGAAAACCAATTAGTCGAGGAAGAAGTTAATACACTTTGTTATACAGCTACCGGCTCCATATACCAGAGAAGGCATAAAGCCCATGTTGATACTTGGTGCCAGAGCACAGTGCCCGAGTACAATTCTCGCTGGACAATAATGTGAACACACCTTTGTTTTTTTTTCTAAATACAGAGTTCCCATACCCAGGTACAAGGTCTCGACCTTGTACTCGAGCACCAAATGGTACTTGGATACTTAGACTACCAGTGTCTGAACGCAACACTATTTTGTGCCGGTGTCCAGGCATCAGTGCTCGGGCGCCAAGTGTGAACGAAGCTTAAGATACAATTTTCGTGGCAGTGTGTATCAGGAATTTTATTTTTTTCGTCAATATTCTGGCAGTTACCTGCCGGACACATTTCACAGGAGTCATGCTTGCCTCTGTAGGTACCAGGTACACAAAGACTGCAATTTAAACATCTGGAGTCATTAACGTATCCAGTGTGACAATTATGACACACAAAGCCCGAGCCTGTCAAACCGATTTTGTAATCCACGTCTTGGAGCAAAAAGATATGGAACGATGCTGACGGGGCGCACTTACTGTGTGGATATAAAATATGACAATATGCACAATTATTTCTTTCAAGTGAGAAAATCGTATTCTTTCTTAGTACTAGTAATTAATTTCTTTTTAAAATTAAGATGGTAATAATAATGATAATAATAATAATAATAATAATAATAATGATAATACTAAATAAGGTTCACTCACATAGCTGCAGCGTATCTCCCTCGAGGAAATTGGCGAAGGTTTTCACACGTTATAGACCTGTAGGTTATTACTGATGGTTAGCTCACAAAATGCCAATTTCAGCTTTCCTAAAACGGTTACCTTAAGACCGGTACCTACTTTTGTTAGTGCGCACACGTTCTGCGCATCACGCAAGACATGGTTTAACTGCCACGCACGCGCTAGGGTTGGCATTGACGTAATCAACTACCCTACCAAGGTCACGACTGAAATGAGAGCAAAGTTTTCCTTCTGTGACCAAACCAAGTTTGATGAACCTGCACTAAACTTAGGCACACCAGAATAGCAACATATATCCCTAACCACTCACTGTTAACGGCTTCCAGCTGAAAAACTAGCTGTTATCTGTCGAAAATTATACTGGAATCCAACTGTAAATATATACCTACAGTACAGGTCACCCAAGCGTAATATAAGAGTTTGTACCTTGAGTTTGTATGGAGAACAATGGTTGAAATATAAGAGTTTGTATGGAAATTAGGAGATGACATTTAATTCGTTCAATGT